CCCTGGTGAACAAGCACTCTGGGACTTAGATTCCGTGCGCTGGGGATGCCTATTCAGTGGAGAGCTAGTGGTACTGCCGGGCGGTCCCTTACAGTACCAGAAGGCCATGACTGAGTCTAGAGGAGGGCCCTCCCCGCTTGAGGAAATCTGCAGGCACCTATCTAATTTGACACAGGCCGTATCGGCCCTGCAGGACAGATGTTTACAGATTGAAAATCAGTTCCAGACCTGCACTATATCTGTCCCTGCCCCACAGGCCGCGGTTCCCGCACCCCCGGCCGTAGCGGCCCATGTACCAGCTTCAGGGGCTTCCGTACCACTTCCTGCGGCCGAGCCCCGAGTACCCGTACCAGAATGCTTCCACGGGGACCGCACACGCTTCAGGTCGTTCCGTGAGTCCTGCCTTCTTTATTTTGAATTGCAACCACGGACCTTTGTGACTGAATCCGTGAAGGTGGGGTTCGTCATCTCCCTCCTGCAGGGTGAGCCCCAAGACTGGGCTCACCGACTGCAGGGAAAGAATGACCCTCACCTAAGTTTGGTTGACAGTTTTTTTTTGACGCAATGGCTATCTTATACGATGACCCACAGCGGCAGCCTCGGCTGAAGCCACTTTGTACATGCTCCAGCAAGGCTGACGAGCGGCAGAGGAATATGCATCTGAGTTTAGGTGTTGGATGGGGGACACACGCTGGAACGAGTTTGCACTTTTGCATCAGTTCCGTATAGGCCTATCAGAAGCCCTGAAAGATGAACTCGCCCGGGTAGAGGTGCCTGAGACATTAGAGGACTTAATTGCACTAACCATTAAGATTGACCGTAGACTGCGGGAACGCAGGTTTGAGAGGTCCGGTCAGGGTCACGGAAGTACCTGGGGGTCATTTCAAGGTTCCAGCCAAACAACTAGGCCAAACATCCAGAACCTGCCACCTGGAGATATTCCTGAACCCATGCAGCTTGGCCTGGCACGGCCTAAATTATCTCCAGAGGAACGCCAGCGCAGACGATCCCAGAACCTGTGCCTCTACTGTGGTGAAGCTGGTCACATGGTACGATCCTGCCCGCAGAAACTGAGTAAGTGCACCTCTTCTTCCTTGTCTATTGGCAATGTTAGTCCATCCCAATACTTAGTGGTGCCCCTTTCCTTTCAGCTTCCAGAAAGGACCGTGGAGGTGACGGCCATAGTTGATTTGAGGGCATGCAGCTGCTTCTTGGATATTAATTTTGCTCACCAGCAGGGTATTCCCCTCCAATTAAAAGAAAAAGGGTTCAACATATTTTTGGCCGATGGTTCCCGGATAAAATCGGGGGGTAGTTAACCAGGAAACCCCTTCCATTGCCACTGCCGCCGCCAGCACCAGGAACTCCTCCGCCTGGGATGCTATTGCATCGCCCCTTTTCCCAGTCATTCTGGGGCTCCCATGGTTACGGGCCCATAACCCCCAAATTGACTGGGAAACTGGGGTAAACTCGTTCCCTTCCCCATACTGTCGGGAACACTGCCGCACTTCGGGCCCGGAGGTCCCCCAGTTCCTCCTGTGCTCTGAAGGGGATGCCGACTTAAAACAGGTAATTCCTGCAGCCTACCATGAGTTTCTAGATGTGTTCAGTAAACGGGGAGCCGATACTCTACCCCCCCACCGCCCGTATGACTGTCCCGTTGACCTGTTACCCGGTTTAGAGATTCCTTTTGGGCGAATCTTCCCCCTTTCGGAGCTCGAATTGGGGGCCCTGAAGGAATACATCGAGGACAGCCTCCAGAAGGGGTTCATCCGCCCCTCCACTTCTCCAGCAGGGGCGGGAATTTTCTTTGTAGAAAAAAAAGACAAAACCTTGAGGCCATGTATCGATTACCGGGAATTGAACAGGGTCACAATCAAAAAACGTTACCCACTGCCATTGGTACCGGAGTTATTTCAGAGTTTAAAGGCGGCAGTGGTTTTCACAAAACTGGATTTGAGGGGAGCATACAACTTGGTTCGCATAAGGGAGGGGGATGAGTGGAAGATGGCATTCCGCACCTGCTTCGGCCACTTTGAACATTTGGTCATGCCTTTCGGGCTGTGCAATGCACCGGCCACCTTTCAACACTTTTGTGAATGACATCTTTAGGGACTTCCTGGATATCTTTGTTATCGTCTATTTAGACGACATTTTGATTTTCTCACCTTCCTTGGGGGAGCACAGAATACATGTAGCAAGGGTATTGGGGCGGTTGCGGCAGCATGGGTTGTACGCCAAGGCAGATAAATGTTGCTTTGAACAATCCAGCATTACTTTTCTGGGCCTGATTATCTCCACCGCGGGGGTCGCAATGGACCCTCAGAAGGTCGCTGCAATTCTGGATTGGCCTGAACCCACGGACAGGAAAGGCGTCCAACGATTTATTGGGTTCGCAAACTTTTACCGGAAGTTCATCAAGAACTTCCCGGGTCTGGTCTCCCCCATTACTCAGCTAACCAAGCTTGGAACTCGGTTCAGATGGACGCCAGAGGCTCAGGAAGCTTTTGAAGCTTTGAAGAAGCTGTTCACCTCGGCACCCATTCTGGGTCACCCAGACGCTGCCCTACCCTACATCTTAGAGGTAGATGCATCGGAGAATGCAGTAGGTTCCATTCTTTCCCAGCGGAAGGGCACCAAGGAATTGCTCCATCCTGTAGCATTTTTCTCACGGAAACTTACCCTTGCGGAGAGAAACTACGATATCGGTGATCGAGAACTACTGGCGATCAAGACAGCATTAGAGGAATGGAGGTACCTGCTGGAAGGTGCCTTGCACCCCATCTTGATATTTACAGATCACAAAAATCTGGAATACCTGAGGACCGCCAAGCGTTTACGCCCACGACAGGCGAGATGGGCATTATTCTTTTCAGGATTTAATTTCCATATCACGTACAGGCCTGGATCAAAAAATACAAAGCCAGATGCGTTATCACGCATGTACGAGGACGCCAAGGAGATCCCAGTGCCCGACACTATCCTGTCCTCGGGAAACTTCTTGGCACTTCAGACGGACCTTTGTTCCAAGATAATGGAGGCGTCCACAACCGTATCAACCCCAGTTGGGGTGCCCCTCCAGAACAAGGGGGGACTCCTATGGAAGGAAGATCGGATTATGGTGCCGGAGGAAGCCCGAACCCTGGTCTTGGGACATTGCCACGACCACCCGATGGCAGGGCACTTTGGCCCAGATAAGACCCTAGAGCTTCTCCGACGCTCCTTCTGGTGGCCGGACATGGCTAAAGATTGTAAGGGCTATGTAAGATCCTGTATCACCTGCCAGAAGAACACACAATCAAGGAACAAAGTTTGGGGTCTGCTGCGGCCTTTACCGATTCCTGAACAACCTTGGCAAAGAATCTCGCTGGATTTTATAGTCGAGCTTCCACCATCACTAGACCACACGGCAATCCTTGTGGTCGTGGACCGTTTATCCAAAATGGCCCACTTCATTCCATTGAAGAAAACTCCATCGGCAGCCGAGACTGCGCGAGTATTCATTCGTGAGGTTGTAAGACTGCATGGGGTCCCCGAAGACATTGTCTCGGACCGAGGGGTCCAGTTTACTTCGAGATTTTGGAGGGCATTATGCAAGCCCTGGACATCAAATTGTCCCTTTCCTCTGCGTTCCACCCTCAGACTAACGGACAGACCGAAAGGACCAATCAGACCCTGGAGCAATACTTGCGATGCTACACATCTTTTGCTCAGGATGACTGGATGCCACTTCTACCCCTGGCGGAATTCGCGTACAACAACGCTTGCCATTCAGCAACGGGGCAGTCCCCGTTCTTTTCCAATTATGGGTTTCACCCTGTCTTCCTCCCGGATTTGGTCTCGGAATGCCCAGTTCCAGCAACACAAGATGCATTAATTTTTTTTTCCTCAAACAACAAAAAAAACTACAAGAGGCCATCAGTCGGGCTCAAGAGGACTACAAGAAGGCATTCAACAGGAAACGAAGAGGAGATCTGGTGTTGCGACCCGGGGAGAAGGTTTGGTTGGCTACATCCAATTTAAAGATGCTTTGCCCTTCAAAGAAATTGGGACCTAAATTTATAGGCCCTTTTGTGTTAAGCGGATGGTCAACGAGGTGGCTTACAAACTTGTCCTCCCTGACACACTCAAGATCCACCCGGTCTTCCATGTGTCCCTGCTGAAACCAGTGATCCCAGATGCCTTCCCAGAACGAGAATCCAGACCTCCGGAGGCCATAACGGTCGGAAGGAGAAGAAGAAACAATCCTGAAGTGCCGAAGGAGGGGGGGCCAGACCCAATTCCTAATCAAATGGAAGGGCTATGGCCCTGAGGACAATTCTTGGGAACCAGCCCATAATGTCCATGCACCCAGACTTGTCCGGAGGTTTCTTCGTGATCACCCGTGGTGAAGAGATCGGGTGGGCATCCGGAGGTTGCCCGTAGGGGGGGGGGCAATGTCAGGGATCTCCGCGATCCCCGCAGTGATGGTCCCGGCGCAGGCACAGTGCGCCGCCCTGTGCAGGGACGCAGGCACTAGGTCTGGGCTGGCCGCGGCGTTCGAGTTCGCGCATGAGCAGTAGAAGCCGCGGCTGCCCGCTGGGCACCAATGGCAGCGCAGGGCGCGATATTTAAACGGCCCTGAGCTGTCATTCAGTGCCTTCTGGTCTTACCTGCATTCCTGAATCTGCAAACCTGTGCCCTGTGAGTTATTGACCCGGATTGTACCTGACCTTGCCATATTCTCCTGTCCTGACCCTTGCTTTGTCTGACCTCTCTCCTGGATGCCCCCTATCGGATCTGACCTGCTGTTGCTGACCTGGCGTGTGACCCGACTATTCTCTGCCCGCTGCCTTGTACCGCACCATCCTCTCTGTTACCGACCCGGCCTGTCTGACCTTGCTCAACCATCCATCTATCCCTCGCAGTGGGGTCTTCAGACCTCCTCATATCAGACTCTTTCCCGTGGGAGCCCTCGGAGTATACCACTACCACTGACGGACGTACCCAGTAGCCACGACCTGGTCTCGGGGTGCTCCAAGTCCATCCCCACCATCAGGGGCCCTGGTGAACAAGCACTCTGGGACTTAGATTCCATGCGCTGGGGATGCCTATTCAGTGGAGTGCTAGTGGTACCGCCGGGCGGTCCCTTACATCAGGTCACCCTCATGAAGTCTGTTTCTGATGGTTTGGTCAGAGACATTCACACCAGTGGCCTGCTGGAGGTCATTTTGTAGGGCTCTGGCAGTGCTCATCCTGTGCACAAAGGAGCAGATATCAGTCCTGCTGATGGGTTAAGGACCTTCTAGGGCTCTGTCCGGCTCTCCTAGAATAACTGCCTGCCTCCTGGAATCTCCTCCATGCTCTTGAGACTGTGCTGGGAGAAACAGCAAACCGTCTGGCAATGGCATGTATTAATGTGCCATCCTGCAGGAGTTGGACTGCCTGTGCAACTTGTAGGGTATCGACTCATGCTACCAGTAGTGACACTGACCCTAGCCAAATTCAAAACTAGTGAAAAACAAATGAGTGGAGAAAAAATGTCAGTGGCCTCCACCTGTAAAACCATTCCTATTTTGGGTGTCGTCTCATTGTTGCCCATCTAGTGCACCAGTTGTTAATTTCATTAACACCAAAGCAGCTGAAACTGATTAACAACCCCCTCTGCTAAACTGACCAGATAAATATCCCAGGAGTTTAATTGACGATGTTATACTTTGCTTTTATCTCTTGAGTAGATTTCCTTTTCATGCTAATATTCTACTGGCTTTGCTTGCTGCAGCTTGGCATCGCACAACATTGATGAGTCTATCATCTACTAGGACCCCCAGATCTTTTCCATCCTGGATTCCCCCAGAGGTTATCCCCCTAGTGTGTAACTTGCATTCATATTTCCAGTCCCTAAGTGCATTACTTTACATTTTTCAACATTAAACCTCATTTGCCATGTATCCGCCCACCCCTTTATTTGGGGGTGTTCTCAAACTTTTGACTGGTAGTGTACACCCAGAGCTATGTGTCTGTCTCTGCACAGAGGTACAGAGTGAATGAAGGTTTATTAGTTGACTGGGAAATGGTGATCTTCTGTGTCAGGTTTTTATTATCTGTTCCATTTATGAAGAGATCCTTTTATCTCATGTTGGGACACCAAAAGTTAAAATACTTCCACAGTTTATCCAGAAATTAAAAAAAAAAAAAAAAAAAGGAAAAAGCCATGGTTGAAATTCTACTTTAAATACAAATACAGTAAATAATACACACATTTAGTGCATTTCTAGGTAAATCAGAAAAGTTTAATGTAGGAAAGAACTCACATTTTACAATTACAGTATCTCACAGAAGTGAGTACACCCCTCACATTTCTGTAAATATTTTATTATATCTTTTCATGTGACAACACTGAAGAAATGACACTTTGCTACATTGTAAAGTAGTGAGTGTACAGCTTGTATAACTATGTAAATGTGCTGTCCCTTCAAAATAACTCAACACACAGCCATTAATGTCTAAACCACTGGCAACAAAAATGAGTACACCCCTAAGTGAAAATGTCCAAATTGGGCCCAATTAGCCATTTTCCTGTTAAGCTTTTGTGAACTCCATGCCCAAGAGGGTAAAGGCAGTGCTGGAAAATAATGGCGGGCACACAAAATATTGACACGTTGGACCCATTGAGACATTTTCACTTAGGGGTGTACTCACTTTTGTTGCCAGAGGTTTAGACATTACCGGCTGTGTGTTGAATTATTTTGAGGGGACGCATTTACACTGTTATACAAGCTGTACACTCACTACTTTACATTGTAGCAAAGTGTCATTTCATCAGTGTTGCCACATGAAAAGATAGAATAAAATATTTACAAAAATGTGTGGGATGTACTCACTTCTGTGAGATACTGTATATTTCTGTTAGTTCCAGGCAAGTAAAAAAGGCGTAGAACCTGACCCTGTTAGGTAAATTCACTCTGTTGGTCACAAGGACTGAAAGTGAGGACAAACCTAAATTTTACAGTTGTCACAGACAGAAGTAAAGAGAAAACCTACCAATATCTACTTCTGCAAACAGGAATTATTTTTCCTAACTTTCAATGGAACAGAAAGTGTGGCAGAATTTTCAGAGACGAAGACTGAAGACTAGAAAACGTTTTGTTAGAGCTCCATTATAAGATTGACATTAAGTTTAACAACTTGAATTACTTTTATTTTGAATCCAAAAACATACAGACATATTAGTTCTAATTCAAACCCAAATGTAAACCTTTAATGCTACATTCACATGGCTGTTTATCTGCAGCCAAGGAGAGCTGCTGCCAAAAAACCTGTAGACTCTTGGTGGTGGTTGTAAACACTGCTTGCACATACTGTGTGAACAGCTCCAGTTGTCAGATTTATATTCTGATGCTGTTACATGAGAAAAAAGCCTCCGATCAAACCTGGATGCAGCCAATGTGCATCCAGGGTTGGTATTTCTGCAAAGATTAGGTCACATGCAAATTGCCACAGCTATTCGGTAGTTTGTATGTGACTATAGCACAGAGGGTTGCTGCATCCAGAGTTGGTGATTAGCAGTCTCTGAACGCAGCAAACTAGTCACAGATAAATTGCTGTGTGACTGTACCCATTGAGTTTCCCTGCTACGTATCAGACCTCAATAAATCTGCCTTTTCTTTTGTGCTGGCCATTTTCTTATTAGCTTCCATGTTTCGACTTCGTTATACCCCCAGCTCCCTTGCACACCTTGGCTACTAACCATATGTAATTACCTGGCAGCAAATCTGACCACTTCACAACTTGATTTTACTTTATTGACCTATCATTTCAGAGTCTGTCAACTTTGTATAATCAGTTACAAACCTGGCCAATTCTAACTGGGCAAATGCTTAGAATGGAATGGTAGTTCAATTATGTTACCAGGCTCAAAGGAGGCAGTTTCAGATATTATTGGATACAAGCACTGTGTATAACATCACTTTGATTTGAGTTTAAAGGATGTAGAAATGTACCCTATTAGTCTTCATGACTATTGTCTCTATGAAAGAAAGTGATAGGAAAGCTTTTTTGGTGAGAATTATTTTATCATTTTTTTGTCAATGGACAGTGTCACTGCATAGATTCAAGGTGGTGGGCTTTGTAGGTCCCATAAGGTATGATCCACATTTTCATGAACTGGTGTATACTTTTATCCATGTATATGCAGTGGAGGTGTTATGCAGGTATTGTGTGCACCCTAGGGATGCACAACATGGTTGTGATTAATATGACAAATATATTTACTCATGCTGCTCTGTCATTTGGTCATTACTACTGGTTTTGTTTTCCTGGCAATCCCTTAGTAATGATAGAGAGGCCAGCACAGGAGGGGTGTTATTTGTTGACATCTAGGCCTCACCCATATGTTCAATGGATAGGTGGAGGGCTGCCTTTGACTCGTGACCATTTAAACAGGGTCATGCCATGAGGTTGGTTTACCTCTTAAGAAGGGGGCCAGTCCCCCAAATCATGTTGCCCTTCCAACTCTGTGGTCCAAGGACAGGTGACACCACCTATGGCTGGAGCTTTTGTATTATATGCCTGTTGTTTTTATAGGTTTGTGAGTATCCATTTGTTTTGGGATTTAATAAATCTGGTGCTAATGAACAAAGTGTTTGTGTCCTCCTGGGTGTTTTTTTATAAGCTTTTTTGGTTGTCCGCAGACATCTGTCCCATTGCTGTAGAGATTCCCACTTACTTTCTGCTGTCCTCCGAAGGGAAAATCTCCCCATGGGACAGACAGAAAAATAAAAAAAAAACAACCTGACGGGTTCTAACAATTACTTAATCTATTCGACACTAAATCAGAAAATAACAGGCTAGAGACACACTTTAGAATTCACCTTTTAGGACCAGCTGTGGTGATCTTCTATATGAGCAATGAAGCAGCCACAGATCAAGCATTGATGAAAAGACACACAGTAATATCTATAACATCCTCATCAAGGCCCTCTCCTCCAACCCTTGCCGACTCTTCTCCACCTTCAACTCTCTACTCTCTCCACCCCCACCTCCACCCAGCACCTCACTCACCGCCCTTGAGATTGCCAATCACTTCAAAAACAAGATTGACACAATTCGCAAGGACATTGCCGCAACTTACACGCCCTCTCAACCCGTCCCCTCTCACACAGCTACCCCCTCATCCCCCCTCCCCCTCGACATTACCCGCAGGGACTTCGTCACTGCTCAAACTCCCTCCAACCCTGTTCCCCCTCACTCAGCTACCCCCTCATCACCCCTCTCCCACGGCCCCACCACTGCTCTGACCTCCACTTCCACCCCACCCTACATTCCTCATACTGAAGCTGCCCCAACACTCCACACCTTTGACCTTACTACCATTGAGGAAGTCTCCAAGATCCTCTCTGATGCCAGCCTCACCACCTGCCCCCTCGACCCTATCCCCTCACAATTCCTACGACCTCCCTCCCCCTCCATCCTACGCTCCCTCACCCACATCTTTAATCTCTCCCTCTCCTCCGGCACTTTCCCCTCCCCTCTGAAGCATGCACACATCACCCCCATACTTAAAAAGCCCTCCCTGGACCCCAATGACTCGAACAACCTCAGACCCATCTCCCTGCTCCCATTTACATCTAAACTCCTCGAGCGCCTCGTCTACACCCGCCTATGCTCTCACCTCAACGACAACCACCTCCTCGATCCCCTACAGTCCGGCTTCCGTCCCCTACACTCCACCGAAACCGCCTTACTCAAACTCTCCAACGACCTTCTAACCGCCAAAGCTAATGGCCACTATTCAGTGCTCCTACTCCTTGACCTCTCTGCGGCCTCAACACAGTTGACCACCCCCCCTCCTCCTCAAAATACTACACTCCCTCGGCCTCAGAGATTCTGCTCTCTCCTGGCTCTCATCCTACCTGTCACAACGCTCTTTCAGCGTTACCTATAATGCTACCACCTCCCCCTCACTCCCCCTCTCTGTTGGGGTCCCTCAAGGCTCTGTCCTTGGGCCCCTTCTCTTCTCCATCTACCTCCTCCCTTGGCCAACTCATACACTCTCACGGCTTCAACTACCACCTGTATGCCGACGACACACAAATCTATCTCTCAACCTCCTACCTCACCCCCTTGGTCTCTGCCCGAATCACACACCTACTGAG